AATAAATTAGACTACAAATAACCATAATATTATATGTTATTAATAACATGAGCTAAAAATGATTTTAATAATATATTTTATGAACAAATATAATTGAAAATTACTTGTATAAAACTTGAACATATGACAATTTAGTGAAAATACAACATTTGGGACCAATTTCAATGATGGATATAATATACTTTGTTAGTATATATGAACATATATATTTAAATCAAATCAAATCGGATAGGGGTATATCCATATTTGATCAAACCAGTAAGTATCTATGTGCTTTGCACGTGGGAATTCTAAGTCATGATAATGATAGTAATAATTAGAGGTGTAAAGTGGGTTGTGTCGTGCTGGCACGTAGGCCATGCCGCCCCTTCTCGGTGAAAAATTTGGGGGTCGGCCTGATACGGCCCGATTTACACCTTTTAATAATGTATCCAAATTTTTTTATAAAATTCATGTTTTTTTTTTTATTTTTGTTTTTTACTATTAATTGGATGTAGATTGCAAAATCCGAATCACCTCATATTAGGTTGAAAGTTTAGGGTATCATTCACAGCCCACCCAAGGTTCAAAGTATCGACACGTATTGGCCCATATGTATTGTTCCGGGACCCCTCTAGTACACCCCTATAGTGGGTGTATTGGGGGTCTAACCGGTTCAGGGGTGGAGGAGCCCTAAACTAGCCCCCTTGAACCGATTGCAAAAAAAAATTAAAAAAAGGCATCAAAAGCTGTTTTGATTTGCCTGATACACCAATACTGGCATATCAGGCATGTCGATATTTTGAACCTTGAGCCCACCTATTTGGCGAATTCTTTTTTTTTTTAATATTTTATCTTCTTAGCTAGTATATTTTTATTGTTCATTTATCAAAAAAGTACAAGATTTAAAAATAAGAAATTGAATGATGTGAAAATTGTCCTTCAAACTACATTTTAAAGCTCACAATTAAATAGTGATTAAATTTGAAAAGTGAATATTTTAGTAAAAATACAGTTACAAAATCTTATTCTAGTAGTATAAATAATATGTGTTTATATACTGTTCATCTTCCCCGATCGTGAGACAAAGACCCCCTTTAATATATGGAGAGAAAGACCCCCTTCCGTTTGAAAAAATACTGTTCATCTTCCCCGACCTCACATACACGAAGAGCAACGGCGGTAAACGTCGAGCACCTTACTGGCAAAACAGCTCGAACTTCAACCCAACAAACTAGAGATCTAGAGAGAGAAAAATAAAAAAGAGAAGCAGAGAGAAATATAGATCGAACTGTGCTCGTCTCACCTGCATAGGACAATAAGCATACGACTAGTCCCAGGTAGACAAAATACAGAGCATACGACCGTCACCGACGATGACGACGATGCTTCGGCGGTGGTGTCGAGTGTGGACCTGCTTCGCTCTCGTTGTCATTGCCTTCATCGGCACAATGAAGCACATTCGGCTGAAAGAACTCTCAGCTCTGATTAAAGTGATGCACAATGGAAACCCTCAAGTAAGGCAGCGTTCAAATGCCCCGGTGCAGATTTTCATCCTATTTACCCTACCACCGCAGAAAACTAGCTAGTGATGACTTCTGCTATATATTGTGCTAATTAATTACATACTTGAACAAATGTCCTCATTTATAATATGCATATGAAAAGTATGATCGGTTCCAAGGAAGAATCCGCCAGTTCTTACATGATGAGAGATTTCCTCCATCGAACACCTAGCAAGTTAGAGGCCTCTAGCTGCAACTACTTGCCCTGTAACCTATCAGCCTCGTTGAAAGAAAAAAAAAAGGGAAGCACAGTGATGATGGAAATAAGAGAATCAAAACATAAAACGCAAACACAAATGCACCCCAATGGTCGAAGTATCAAACAACAACACAAATATGATCAAGAAAGCGCAAAATAAAGAAGAATTTCAGCTGCCGCCGTCACCACCATGGCCTCCAATAACAGCAGCACCGTGATGAACAACGCCGCCTCCATTTTCGTCTCCACCGTGACCACCACTATCATGATGCTGGGTAGCAGCTTTCACCAAGATGTTTGACAATATCATGAAAGCCATCCCCTTTATCCTCGGCACCATTTCTAGAGATGCAGACAATATCAGTAGCAGCTATTGTAGTACCGCCCGCACCCAACAAAATGGCCTTGCCACCATCTTTGGTTCTCTTGTGCTTAGTAGCTGCTCCTTGTTGTTCTACACATCATGAGAAGCATTGTGAGCCGAAGGCCTACGACCTTCACTTCTGGCAACCTTGCACGTTTGATACTTCGCTTCTTATGGCCGCTCTTGCAGAGGCAAGCTAGAAAATCTCCGAGCAACATGGTCTACTATAGACCCACAGGTAGTACTCAGTGCAATTGCAAAGGCTTCATCTTCCTTGTGGATGCCCCCCACCCCCTACTGTAAGGCTGTTTATACTCTTCTATTTTTTTTTGTCGGAGTTGGTTCTGTATAGTGTATACCTTAAGACTTTACATTGTCGTTATGCAGCAATAATTAATCAGAGGAAGGCTTCTCTGCTGGTCTATATCTTCCTTTACACTCTTTTTGTCGTATGCATGTTCTCTCGAGCCTTTTTGACGAATCTGCACTCTAATTGCGGGCTGTAGACCATCATGCATGGTTTTAGCGAAAACAGAGGAAAGCGGGAAGAAGAAAGGGGAAGGGGAAGAAGAGAGATCGGGGGAGAGAGAGAGAAATGTGAAGGAATCAAAGGTAAAAGGGATTACCGTTGTTGTTGTTGTGTACAAGTGAGGTTGGGGAAGATGAATAGTGTTTTTCTTCAAATTGTCCAATAATTAATTACAAGGGTAGTATGAGGATTAAAAAATATTACAACGGCTAATTTTAATGGAAAGCTAACAGAAGGGGGTATTTGTCTCAGGTCATGGTACAGGGTGGTCTTTTTTCACAAAACAAAGTATAGGGGGTCTTTGTCATAGACTCCATAGTACAAGGGGGGTCTTTGTAATTTACCCTTTTTTTGTAAAATTTATGTATTTTTTCATTTTTTGTGTTTTTTATGTTTTATTACTTCAGCACAAGAACACATAACATAATTAATTGTGACAATTAATTATTATTATTATTTTCATTATAAACTATTATCTCCACTAATCAGGAAAATAATTTAATTTTTGGTTAGTTTTAGATTGTGTTTCATTTTAATCACCAATAAAAATAATTATTGTTTATTACACTTATTCTTTAATTTGATTAATAAAAATATCATAAATGTGTCTATTTTTTCTACATCTTTGTAGTTTTCTATATTTATTTTTATTTAAAAATTTTATTATCTAACTATGGCTTCATGGATTGGCCAATTTAATTCGGATGGTTGAATTGTTTAGTTTGGGTAAATAATGGTTTTGTTTTTGAATAAGTTTTTAAATATATGGGTTTATATTGTTAAAAGTACTGGACATAAGAGTTAATGACATGGGATTAAATAAGGTGAAAAGCTCTAATTGAAATTATAAACAAACCAAAATCAAATCAGGCTTAATAGGATCGAATTCAAATTTGGAATCGGATAATTGGATACCATTTGCAGCCCTACTTCCAAAACATGGGTAGTCGTTTCAAGCAACAACATTGATCAACATTCCATATGAGATGTATCCAAATAAAAAGCAATAAATGGTATACCCATAAATTGCAGTGGAGAGCAAGCAAACAGTCATGCCAACATTCATTAATTACATGGGGCAATAGGAAAAATCCATTTTCCATATTTAAAGATGAGGACTTTGTAAAGGATATTGTTATCTTTGAAGACAGGCGTAGGAATCATATATGATGTGGGATAAACTGCGATGGGATTCCCTACAAAAGTAAAAGCTCTGCAAACACTCTGAAAACATGGGAATCCAATCGCACATTGGGAACATCTCTCAATGAATTTAACATACATGTATGTGAGACATCCTTAATGTGTCTGGATGCTATGTGAGTAGAGTTTTTTGTTTGAAGGAGATCCGAACTCAGATAAATCATTCAGGTATTGCCACACTCACTCAGAGACCTTCATACCTTCATCCGCGGTGGTGTTTCTTCAGGTAGGAGTCTTCTCAATTGGAAACAGCACAATCAAGTATTAATCCTCCTCTTCCTTAGAGGGCAACATAAACAACTGCAACCAAAATGTATCCAAGTTCTTAGAAATAATTAGAAAAGGGAGGATAAGGAGCTATAAGTGAAGGTGATTGATTGATGATAGCAGCAAATGCACCCAAGATGTTGGATTAATCGGAATAGGTTATGCCGTTTGGATTGAAAATTATTGTGCACGACTAGCATAGGTGTGGGGTAAAAGAGTGATTGCTATCAATTTTCTATGGAGTGGACTATGTCATGTAGGGAGAGCCCTATGGATAGGATTGCAGATGGTCATTATTTTTCTTGAATTAAGGTGGTTGGTCATTTCTAGAAATTTTAGTGGATTTGAAGGTGTATCCAATGGCAAATGCATAAAAGTCAAATGAGAAGAATGCAAACTTTGGGTTTTAGTTTTTAATTGTTTTATTTATTTTGCTTTAGGTTCTATTTTACTTTTTTTGCAATGTAGGGCAAGAGTTGAAATAAAAACGAACCTCATGCATTTGCACCAGTACAAATGAAATTGTACTGCAAACCAAGGTTTTTAAAACTGGACTGGACAGGGAACCGGTTCCTGGGTTGAATGGTCCGACATCTGGTCTGAATGAATGGCCCGTTTTGACAAAAAAAATAAAAAAAGGCCAACCATTGTCTGGTTTGACGGTTCGATCACCCAGGTCAACGGGTTTGGCCAAAAAGAGGGTTTGGGATGAAATGGATGACCGATTCTCGGTTTTTCCGATCCAACCATCTGGTCTGGTCCGGTTTTGAAAACACTGTTGCAAACAAACCAGGCAAAAGAACAACTCACTCATATGCATAAATTTCGCATAAAATCTCAGCCCAGCTAAATGCTGATAAGGTTGAAATTCTTGGTTAAAGCTGGGGTTACAGAAAATGGCAGGGGTTTATATTTAGACAAGGGAGCTATCATATCTCAAGTTTCTTTATACATTGTCCTATTGCAAGATACAAAAAGATGCAGCTTAACCATTCCATATGACTTGTAGGTAATCATCAAACTGCATGTAAATGTGTTAACTGTGAGACATAATGTACAGACTTTTTACAGACCACAACCGGAGATACAGAAAGCAATTGAAACAATCGCCCATTTAGGGTTATGGGTTGCTTCAGAATGCATCTAAACTGCAATTTCTTTGGTCACGCTCCACTGGGGCTGCACTTCAGGGTGTTCAGTCAGACTTTTCTTCTTCCTTGTTTTTGAAACTAGAGGATTTAACTTCACCCACCTCATCCTTATCCCCATCCCCATCCTCAACATCTGCACTGCTATTTCTATCAGGAGAAGGAGGGTTTGAGTCATCAGCGTCTTCACTAGGAGCTGCTAGATATGCGAGAGCTGATACAACATCACTTATCAAAGGTCTAACGCTGGCTTCCTCTTGAAGACACATAGCTGCAACCGCAAGAGCTTGGTAAAGACCCTTAACGGGGTAGTTCCCTTCAAGCAATGGGTCAGCCATTAGTGTAAACTTCCTTCTGTCCTTAAACAGTGGTTGTGCCTGCAAAACATGAACATGTACCTCAGTTATCCAGAAAAAGGCTCATATCAAACAGAAAGAAAACCCACTACTACATGAAATTGTAACCCACAAATGGCATGGATGGAACAAATTGAAAAGAAAAGTAAATAGAGTTGATCCTTGTTTTCCCTTAAAGTAAGAAAGTCGGACACTTACTTGTCTGTAGTTAAGACATCTTTCAATCTCAGCCATATGGCATCATTTTGATTTTAGTATCAGTGCTCACAGACTAAGGTAAACAGTTATAATCGGTAAAGATATTTTAATTTTGGCATGAAGTGTTTACTATATGGATAATTAACAGCCAACTTCTTAATTCATGGTTCTTCTAAAGGGAAGTGAAATCTCTGATATTTCATATATTTTCACTCTTAAAAGTTAATAAGGATATGATATTAGGAAACAAGCATCAGTGATGCAACAACCAATGGTATATTTTCAAGAAAAGAAAAACAATTATAGTAGCTAGACTCTTAATGAGATAGAATTCTTTTAGGACTATCATAAAGAGATAAATCCGTTAGGTTATGTTTGGTTTGATAGAAAATAAGAGAGACAGAAAGTTGAGGGAAGGTTCTTAACAAAATTTGTGAAAAAGGACTTCTTCTAAACTTATGTGTCTCTCTTATTTTCCGTCAAACCAAGCACAGCTTTAATTTATTCAGTTTATGCCACTACTTATTATTGTTTGTCAGAGGTTGGACTATCAATTATTAGCATAGCAGATATGACTGTTTGAAAAACTAAATTCACTGGAGGTACAAACCCAAATAACAAGGTTTTGTTCAGCTGTAGGTCTTGAAGTATCAATAGCTCTTCTCCCTGTGATGATCTCCAGAAACACAACTCCAAAACTGTATATATCTGACATTGTTGTCAACTGTCCTGTCATTGCGTATTCAGGTGCACAGTAGCCATAGGTCCCCATGACTCTTGTGGAGACATGACTCCTGTCACCTGTAGGGCCTAATTTGGCGAGCCCAAAATCAGAAAGTTTTGGATTGAAGTTTTCATCCAATAATATGTTAGATGCTTTGAGATCACGATAAATTATTGGGGGATTAGCAGTGTCATGCAAGTGTTCAAGCCCTTTTGCTGCACCTTCAGCTATTTTCATCCTTGTAATCCAATCCAGAGGTTTCTTATTTGGTGGCAAATCTGCAAAAAAGTAGCTTACTTAAAAATGACCTGTGAGACAAACTTTATCAAATGAAATATTTGAAAAAAGCAGGAAACATAAGGTGCTTTACTAGTCTTGAGTAGACAGAAGTATGCTTAGCCAACTGCATGAATCTATTTCATGGCTACCACACAGTAGAGATCTTACAGTCGTCGACCTTGTAATTGCAATTGGGTTTGTTTATATCCAAATCCTAGATTTCTTCATGATATAAGAGTTGCAGAGGCAAAACATAGATTATTGGAGCATACCAAGAAGGTGACCTTCCAAAGATCCCAATGCCATGTACTCATAGACTAACATCCTATGCTGACCATCAGCACAATACCCAATTAAGTTCACAAGGTTTGGATGGTGGAGAAGACTCAGCATCAAAACTTCAACAAGGAACTCTCTGTTTCCTTGCAATCCGTTTCGGTCAAGTTGCTTGACAGCCACATCCTGAACATGATGTATTATCAGTGAAACTACTTTGATAAATCACTTCATTTTATATGTGATCTAGTGTGAGAAGGGGGAGTAAGCACCTGGTTAGTACTCTCAATCCGTCCTTTATACACCCTTCCAAAGCCACCTTCACCCAGTAGGGATTCAGGCTTGAAGTTCATAGTTGCTGCAGCCAGCTCATTGTAAGTGAAGACTTGAATAGTGGCTTCCCCATTTCCCAATTTAAGTATTTCTTCTGCCATATTCCTCTGTCTATCGCTGTCTGCATAGCAATAATATATGTAAGAGTTTATCCAGATGAAATCATACTCTCTTTTGTATATGGTTTACAAGGTTCCTTGCCTTTACACATGAAAATGGGAATCACTAACATAGTAACAGGTTAAGGTATCGGTCTGGAAGCTGTAAGGAACGAGATAATTATTTTTAGTTTTGCTTAACAATTAAAAACATAGTGTTATCACCTAAAATAGATTCATAATAAACATATTACTAATTGATGTTTTTTCTGGATTTGTTTGGACGGCAAATCCCATTTTAATAATATAGGTTTTATGATTTCAAGTGCTAGGAAAAACTCAATTTAAGTGATACCATTTTATGTGGTTGTTGAAATGTCCCATGATTCATCTAAACCTGCATATATAGAATTATAAACAGAACCATGGACATTGAGGGGATGTACACAGAAAAAAGAAAGAACCAATGGAGATTTCATTGCCATCTTAAAGAATACATAAGATTTAGTATTGATCTACTGCATATTTGTATTTTTTCCTATTTGAGAAAATAATATATGACCACGACGACGACGAACTAGGAGGAATGTTGACCATTGTACCAAAAGAAAAGGGCCTTCTCCCCATACCAGAGAGGGACACACCATACGGGAATACAATTCAGGAGATGAAACCTAACCTAGGCATATTCAGACAGATAAAATCAAACACTTTAAACAATACCAGAGAGGGCAGCTGCCACTAATATTTAGATAATACAACCAGTTTTGTATACCAAAAAGAAAAACTGCTTCAACTTCATGATTATTTGATAGCACAAACACAATTATATTTCTAATCAATACAAATTAGTAGACCTGAAAATTAATTTAGAAAGGGAAATTGCCTAAAACTCACCATGAATTTTCAGCATTCCTCTTAAACTCACCACGACTTTTCAAAATGTCTAAAACTCACCATGTCACTAACTTGACATTAAATAGACTAACGGGCGTTAATATATTACCATTTTAACATTCATAGAAAATATAAAATATACAAAATAAATTAATGGGTGTTAATATATTACCATTTTAATACTTAGACATAAAAAAGGAAAAAATTCAAAAATATATTTTCAAATATAAAATACATAAAAACATAGAAATTACAAAAAATATAAAATATTATAGAAATTGAAAACAAAATAAAAAAATATTTTCAAATTATATAAACTATAGAAATTGAAAAACAAAATCAGAAAATAAAAATTGTAGAAAAAAACACCAAAAAACTTGGTCACAAAAAAAAACAAGAAAATTGAAAACTGAAAAATACCATTTTTCCTCTCACTCACCATTCAAGGGTAATTTGGTTATAAAAATTGTTATTTATGCTGACATGGATACTTCTGTTAAGAAGCATTAACAGTGCACTAATGGAAGGTGAGTTTTGGAAAATAAAAACTTACTGACATGGTGAGTTTTAGACATTTTGAAAAGTTGTGATGCGTTTAAGAGAAATGTTGAAAACTCATGGTGAGTTTTAGACAATTTCCCATTTAGAAAAGTTAGTAATCATTCAATGCTTAGAATTTTGTAGAGGAAAGTTTCAAACTCATTAGGATAAAAGTAAAATGGATCAAGCACATTTCAAATTCATTGACAACCGTCTGAAATGAAGTTAAAGGGGGAAAGTTTGACATCATACTGGATCGAAAGGAAATAGTTGCGATCAAATTGGCTAATACATTCCCTTCTTTAAATTCCCGCTTGCTCTTCTTCTTGAACGACTTGCAGTTGTTGTCGACTTCTTCTCCAGCTTCATCTCCACCTCCACCTCCACAACAAGGAAAGCAATTCATTTTCCTTTCCCTCTTCGCCTTCTACTCCAACCCACGCAGATTTAACAACCATAAAAAACCCTAATCACTAAATCAGAATTGTCTAATAGGACCCGTATAGACAGAAATCGATCTAAATCCAAAACAACATGAAAGCAGAGCGATGAAGGCGAGAAATGGAAAAAATCATTTGCAATTGGAAACTCAGAAGGGAAGCACCTAGAAACCGGAAAACTTTTGTCCAGGAAGAACAAGTTTTCTGGTTTCCGAGGAGCAAATACCAGTCACCAGAGCGTTCGTGTTGCTTAATCTCCTCAATCCCATTGAACCAGGAAAAAAATGACTTTGACACAGCAATTCTGCTAAATTTAGTCACCCTAGCTTTTCAAGAGAAAAGACTAAAAAAATCCATTTTCCAAGGAACAGGCGGGCACCGTTCCTCCTTTCCCTTCTTTTATAAATTAGTTACGGTTGAAGGAAGGGATAACGGTCACTGAGCTGAGGTTGGATTAACGCGGCAAAAGTGTATTTCGCCGCGAGATTGCCTTGGATTCCAATCCAACGGTGGGTCCAGCAGACCTAGTTTACGATTTTACGTAGAGTATTTTTCAATTGAAATTTCTTACCACGTGTCTGGATTATACACGTGTCTTTTTCAACTAAACCCCACGCAAAAACCTAGGCTCAGGAAGTAAAGTAACAGTAGCTCAGAAGTCAGAAAAAAATGCTTCGTTAATGGCGGTTTTCAAGTCACTCAAGACGATCTTCAGAAACCCTAAATCGCGGTCTTTTCTAAGTTTGTGCGCATCTGCAACTCCATTTCCATCTCCATCTCCTCCGCTCTCATCGGTCTTCTCGTCCTCCCCTTCGTCCCATATCTTCCCCGTTTCGTTGAATCCGTTCTCGTTCGCTCTTCGCCTCACTTCATCCCACTCGAGGTTTCTTTCCCCGTCTTGTAAATGGATTCCATTTCCGGGACCCCTTTTTCTGTCTTCTCCACCATGGAAGCTTTCTCAGTCTGCTACTCCTCTATATCTACCTGGCCAAGTCGTTGTGGGAAAGAAGTCTCTAAATCTCATTCATAGGAGCTTTCCTATCAAATTAGGGTTTGGTTCGGTTATTCCCCTTCCGGATTTGGTAAATGGGATTGATCAAAAGAAGTTGCTGAGTGGAGATAAGATCGGTGGAAATTTATCAGAGGGCTTTTTTAATTTGCCGAATATGATTTCTATGAGCAGATTGCTTTCTGGTCCTTTCTTGGGATGGTATGTTCCCCTTCTCCCCACCTCTGCCTGTAAGTATTTATTAAAGTTTGTCTCTACTTACGCACATTGCCGGTGAAGGGTTTGGTTGTTATATGGGTTTGGGAAAGGGAGGTTAAGCTGTGGATTATGCAGACCCTAATCAGGTGCCATTGATAAAAGCTAGAAATTTACCATTAGTGATTGGTTCGACCATTAGCATCTCTAGAGATGATTCTATCTATTTCAGAAGTGAAAGGAACGCTATAGAAAAGTGTGTCCTGGTCTACAAGATTGAAGAGCAAGGAAAAGAAATTAGCTTCTTGGTTTTGTTTTGTTTTCCTTGCTTAGTTTCCCTAGACATATAAATCACCTCATACTTTTCAAATTAGGTTCCTGGAATAGGAAATTTATTCAATTACCATATGTACTGTCAAGGATTTTCAACACCCTAGGATCGTCAGTGTGTAGTAATATTGCCTGGCACGTAAGCCCGTCAGACCACTGACACATGCCTGTTATTCATGGTAGATTGCTGAGACAGGTTTCATACTTCTAACAAATCCAAGTGGAGGGTCTTCCAAACGGTCTCTGGATTGCTGAAACTCTATAGATGCGGTTATGACTGTTTATCATATACGAGCTACATTCCATGACCCCTCCCCCTGCACGCATGCGCACACACAGAAAAAAAAAGGATTTGGGGAGTCAACGGATATACTTTCATTTTAATTTTTATAATACATTTTTATTTTTGTATGACAAATAAAAGTCTATCCACCGGAAATCTATTTACATAGTTATCCACTGGAATTGGAGAAGGGAAAGGGATGATAAGGTCAGTGAACAAGGAGATTGAGGGGGAGGTGTATTGCCGGCAATAAAGCTCTTTGCTGGCATCGGTCCAAATGGTGTTAAAAAGGTCAAAGGAGGTGTATTTCCATTTGCTCCAAAACATTCGAACTTGACACAAGCCGATCTCTCGGGGATAGGGTGTTGGTGATTACAGAGGGGAAGAGGGGCTTGGTCCAGAATCTTTTTTAAAGAAGATGAGGTAAGCTGGATTGTAGGTGCTTTGGAAAAATTACTAGAAAGCCATAATAGACTTTTTGAACCATTAAGACGAGCGGACAGGGGAAGGATAACCTCATTTTCAGTTGCTGAAAATAGATGGGGAAGATACATAAGGCTAAGCCAGTAGGAAGGAGCGAGAAGATTGAGAAACATTTGTATTCCTGAAGAAGCTAACACTTTAGGGTGGGAAACGATGTCAAAAACTTTGAGTTCATTTCTCGCCAAAAAGGAAAGACCAGAAGTTGTTCCCCCCTCGACAGAGGAATTTCTAGTCTTAGAGAAAGGAAGAAGCAGAGTGATGGTGGTTGGAGGAAGAGCTTTCATATCCGTGGTCCATAGACTTGGTCTGTTTGGAAATTGGAAGACAACCTTCATATGTACCAAGCCAATGGACGTAAGTTGGAGAGATGTGGAACTGGGCATTTCAGCAAACCTGCATTCCCTGATGCTGTTAACTCTGAAACCCTTTGAAACAAACAAGGCGGTGGGGTTTTCCCCGTCGGAGGAGACAGTCAGCAAATGGACGAGGTTGGGATCTGTGTATGTGTATGGGAAGAAGGTGTTGATTGATCGGTGGTTGCCGAAAGTGAATGAAAACCTTGCAAATCTGAGTTTTGACGGTTGGATAGTGATACACGGCCTCCCCTTTCATCTGTGGACAGTGGAGACGTTTAACCTAATAGGAAGTCTTTGTGGAGGACTGGAGGTTATTGACAATTGAACGAGAGATTTCCAGGAGCTTCTGTTTGCCACGACTAGGGTGAAAGGGAGAGAGTGTTCACGATACCTCGAGTAGTTCCCGTTCTTGATGGAAAAGTTTGGTTCCACTGTTCAATCGAGGTCGAAAGGAAAGGAAGAAGAATGAGCCTAGGGAGGAAGAAACTGAGTCAACTTACCAACCTGAGCCCAGCACACGTGGCAAGTCAGGGAGAGCACATCGCCACCTCCTAACCAGGTGAACTTGCATGGAGTGCATGATCAACCTGCAATAGAAGAAGTTACGTTGGGAAGAAGCAAAGCCAAGAGCAGTAACTGTTTTAGGAAGTTTGGCGGTAACGTGGAGGAAGCTTGGGGAAGAAAAGGAATGTCCACTCAAAATTTAAATTTTAAGCAAAAAAGCTGTTCAAGGAGAAAAAGAAAGCTGGAAGCATATGAGCAATCCCAACAAAACCTAACCTGAGAGGGAGATCTGAGCCTCTTTTTTAGTTCCTGACAGACCTGAGAGTTTGGGCCAAATAAAGACAAAAGCCCATTTTGTTCAAGCTGATGAGATCGACAACCCCCCTGCTACTTCTCTATTCTCTGGAGAAGGCTTTCCTGAAACACCTCTCTCTAGTGGAGGAGAAGTTAGGGGGGTTAATCGCCCGCCCACACCATTAACTTCAGGGAACTCAAGTTCGGAGAGGGGAGAATTGGAGGTGGAGTCTGATTCAGAGTTGAGTTTGTACGAATCCGAAGCATATGTCGGCGGTCAGGAGGTAGCTCTAGAAAGAGTTCAAGTATTGTTCAAGAACAGAGGAAATTGGGGAAGTATGGATGTTTTGAAGCCAATGCAGCTAGTTAATCCTGATTACGATCAATCCGAAGACATACACCGAGAGAAAGGAGGAAAGCTGGAACTTGCGGCAAACACCCTTCCAAGCTCTCCGATTGACCCCTTAGTTTGTCACACTTTAGCTATTTCTTCTCCTGGTTTCTCTACCTCTGAGCCCCACTCCAATCCCCTTATTTCCTGTGTTTCAGGTGAAGGTGGCATTCTATCCCAGCCGCCGGCAAGTCTCTGCGATCAACTCAATTCATGAAGAGTTGCAAGATAATCAACGACATAGAGAACAGTGGGCCAGGCTCAAAGCAACAGAGAGAGATAAAGGGAAGTAGTAAAGGAAAGAAATCGGAAGTAGGAGGGAAGAAAGGGACAAACAGAGAGCTCAAAAGACTTCGATGGGGTTTTGTCGACCAGGGAGTAGGACCTGAAATCAGTATTAATAAAATGTTAAGTAAGGGAAAGGCTGTCGTACACAAACCATGAAGATCTTGAGTTGGAACGTAAGGGGGCTGGGAGGGATTATGAAGAGAAGCTTGGTTAAGGATACCCTAAGGAAGGAAAACCCCGACATAGTAATTTTACAAGAAACAAAGAAAGAAGTCATTAACAGAAAGTTAGTTAAAGCAATTTGGGGAACCAGAGGAAGAAAATGGGCAAATTTCCCAACAACGGGAACAATGGGCGGAATTCTTATTGTTTGGAAAGAAGAGGCGGTTACTAGATTAGAAGTAGACAAAGGGAAGTTTTCTTTTTTTTATCCTGTTCACAAACATTTCTGACAGGAGCAATTGGATTCTGACAGGGGTGTATGTGCCTAATTCTCCATCAAAGAGAGGAAGATTATGGGAGGAATCAGATTCTTTACATGAATCGGAGGACTTGCCTTGGTGTGTTGGTGGTGACTTTAATGTCACGAGGTGGGTTAGCCAAGCAAGGGATAGGGAACCTATTATTTTGGGCTAATTTTTAACTTTCCTCCAATGTACTCTGTTGGTGGGGAGTTAAGACATTTTACCTCCCCCTTCTTGTTGTAATTAAAGTTTCACATAGTTTCACATCATTAATAAAGTTTCTTGTTACTGATAAAAAAAAGAAGCATGAAGGAGTTCTCGAACTTTATTGCTAGACACAATCTTAAAGACCTCCCTCTTAGCAACGACTTCTTTACCTGGTCTAATATGTGGGAGTGTGTGGTAAGCAATAGACTGGATAGGTTTCTCATATCCAATGACTGGGAGGAACTATACCCCAACTGTGTGCAGTCTATTAAGCCCCGTTGGACATCTGATCATTGGCCGGTGACTCTACAGAATGAAGTATTCAGGAAAGGAAAGGCATCGTTCAAGTTGGAAAAGGTGTGAAGTACTCACTAGGACTTCCAACAAAAAGTTTCTAAATGGTGGAAGGAATGCAAAGTGGATGGTTGGGCAGGATTTAGGTTTCATCAGAAGTTAAAACACTTAAAAAGGGAATCTAAAAGTGTGGGGTAAAGAGGAGTTTAAAAAGTTTGTGGAAGACAAAAATAAACTAACTCAAGAGCTAGATGATCTGGACCAACGAGAGCAACTGGGGACTTTGGATGGGGAGGGTAGAAGCAGAAGAGAAACTCTTAAAAAGGATTGGGAGAAGCTTATAAGAAGGGAAGAAATCTTTTGGAGGCAAAGGTCTCGAGTGAGATGGTTGAAGGAATGAGATAATAATTCAAAGTTCTTTCATAGTTATGCATCAGGGAGAAGAAGGAAAAACTATGTCTCAAAGCTGAGAGTGGGGTAGAAAGAGACAGAGGACAAACAAGAAATTTCAGAAGCCATAGAGCAGTTTTTCAAAGGTTTGTACTCAAAAGACTGGTCCTGTAGGATTCCTTTTAATAACTGGGAGGGACCTAAGTTGTCGGTGGGCAAAAAGTTGTGGCTAGAAAGAAGCTTTGAAGAGCAAGAAATTAAGGAAGCAGTGTATGGATTCCCTATCATTTTCTTTCAGTTGTGTTGGGATACAATTAATTCTGATCTGTTGGAGGTGTTTTCAGATTTCTACATTTTGGCCATCATGAATAAGGCAACAACTTGACCTTTATCACTCTAGTTCCAAAGAAAGAGGGGACCTTGGAAGTTAAAGACTTCAGATCTATCAGTCTGGTGGGGAGCTTATACAAAATTATGGCTAAAGTTCTTGCGACTAGACTAAAGGAGGTGCTGAAAGATTTAATTTCAAGCAACCAATTTGCCTTTGTGAAAGGGAGACAAATTGTTGACAATATACTTGTGGCTAATGAATGTGTAGAAGAAAGAAGACAAAGTGTCAAGGTAGGGGTGGTAATTAAGCTGGATCTAGAAAAAGCCTATGATAAAGTGGATTGGGACTGCTTGTTGGAGATTCTAAACGTAAGAGGCTTTGGAAGGAGATGGGTGAGGTGGATTAGAGGGTATATAAGTTCTGCTTGGTTTTCAATCCTAATAAATGGAGAGCCAACCAGCTACTTTAATGCAGACAGGGACCTGAGACAAGGGTGTCCTCTCTCCCCCCTATTCTTCACTTTGGTAGCTGATATCCTCAGTTATTTACTTCAAAAAGTAAGGGAGAGAAACCTGCTGAAAGGGTTTGAGGTAGGTAGGGAAGAAATCCAGATATCTCACTTGATGTTTGCAGATGACATAATCTTGTTTTTGGAGGTGGATTGGGAAAACATCTCCAACCTAAAAAGGGTATTAAACATTTTTGAGGTGGCGACTGGGCTTAGAATTAACTTCAACAAAAGCAGTATTGTAGGCATAAATGTAAATGCCTCTTGGTGGGAATCCAAGGAGTCAGTTTTTGGGATCCAGTGGTAGAAAAATGCGAGAGAAGACTGGCTACATGGAAGAAAAGCTACCTGTCAAAAGGGGGTAGACTCACTTATCAAGGCTTCCTTTGCCAATTTGCCAACCTATTACTTGTTGGTTTTCAGTATCCCGGGCAAAGTAAAAAAGTAAGATTGAGAAGCTTCAGTGGGATTTCCTATGGGAAGAAGGTGGCGAAAAGAAGGGTCATCTAGTTTCATGGAATCAGGTTTGCAAGCCCAAGAACCTTGGTGGTTTGGGGCTAGGACATATCAAAGAAAGGAACTTAGCTCTTCTTGGAAAGGGGTTATGGAGGTTCCCCTTGGAGACAGAAGTGTTGTGGACAAAAATCATCAAGAGCAAGTACGAAAGGCACGGCAATGGTTGGGATAGCAAGGTCCACCCAAACCGAGTTAAAGCCTCTAACCCATGGAAGGGTATTTCTTCTGTTTATGACCTCTTTATTGATTTTGTAAGATACCGGGTGCGAAATGGGAATAGAACCAAATTCTGGACTGATTTATGGTGGGGAGAGGACACCCTTGCAAACTCCTACCCTAGAATTTTTAACCTGTCTTGCTCCAAAGAAGCCACGGTAGCCTATAGCCTCAGCCATCTCCCTCAGGAACCAGTTGGAATCTGAACCATAGAAGGCCTCTAAGAGAGATAGAGCTTGCTGAAATAGCAAACTTGCTAAACTCTCTAAGTGAGGCTTACATCCCTCCGGCCTCCCCTGACCAAAGGATCTGGAAACTTAATCCTGCCGGAAAGTTCTCAGCTAACTCCTTTTTTTTTAAGGCTCTAGTTTCAGAAGATCAGATCACTCCCTTCCCGGTCAAGAACGTTTGGGGATCACATGTTCCCCCTAGAGTTTCTTTCTTTGTCTGAGAAGCCTGCTTAAAGAAAATAAATACTTGTGATTTAATTCAGAAAAAACTTAGAGGAAGGTTATCTATCTCCCCTCATGTCTGTCCTCTTTGCCTTGGTGATGGTGAGACAGCTAACCACATTCTTCTCCACTGCCCTGTCACTAGGAAGGTTTGGTGTTTCTTCCTAAACTTAGTTGGTTACAGCTGGGTTTTCCCTGAGAAGGTAGTGGACTTCCTGTGGCAGTGGAAAGGCAAAGGTCTAGGAAAAAGAGGAAGGGTATATTGGAGTACAGTGACACATGCAGTCCTTTGGGGTATCTGGGAAAAAGGAAAAACAGAACCTTTGAAACAAATTCAGAAATGTGGAAGACCTAATCTCTTACATAACTTTCCTCTGTAACCTTTGGGTGGTTAATTCTGAAGCTTTCAAAGGTCTGTCTCTAAATGACCTCCAAAGTAACCCTCCAGTCATCTTGCAGTCCTCTCCTAGATCTGAATCGACCATGAGAAGCCTTATTAGGTAAGATGGTGGGATGATCCTAAACTTTGATGGTAGTGCCCAAGGATCTAACGGCCAAGCAGGTATTGGTGGTACCAGTCTTCTGTGGGGAGAGGGGGATCAGCTGGGCTTATAGTGGTCCGATTGGGAGAGATGATGCTACAAAAGCAGAGTTCTTGTCAGCACCAACAGGAATATGGCTTGCTAAACAGCTGGGTTTTTGCTCCTTAACTATAAAAGGGGACTCTGCAAATACGATAGCCTGGCTAAGGGCTTGAGATATCTTAGTCATTGAATGTAAATCTGGTCTGGATTCCCAGGGAGCAAAACACTGTTGCAGACAGCCTTGCAAAATCAGGGGTTTTTAGGGAAAGTTTGTATAGTGACTTCTGCTTACCTCTATAATTCAGCCTCAGCTGCTTTAGCTTGTAGTACATTCTCTTATGTACTTGTTCCTGTTTTAATTCAATAAAAGTTACCTTTGCTCAAAAAAAGGGGCTGGTTCTTTTAAACAAGTTGGGGGTCTGTTGTTTGGACAAGGATTGATAGGTTGGGTTGATATTGTGGGAGGGTTTAAGGGTTTGACGGGTGATTATGGGTGTTTTCTTGTTTAGTTTTATGTCTGTTTTGGGTGATCTCTCATCACCTGGTGGTGTATGCTATTCTTATGTTTTAATAAATTTTTCTTTTCTATTATCTTGAAAAAAATCATGAAGCATTCATATGCCGAATAGCTGTTTCTAGATGTTCAAATTTTTGCTGCCAATCAATTTCCCAAAATTATTTTGTAATAGGCTATAGCATTGAAGGTTTTCACCCATTTAAACTGTTAGTAAAACACATCTAAATAAATATATACTAACATATAATAGCAAAGTAACAAATATCTCTCTTCTTTCAAGACGCTGGTTTTGATTGCAATAGATTTATTCTTAACAAATTTGTGATGCAGGATGATCATAAACGAGTGGCATCTTTCTGCATTTGTGGGGTTGGCCATCTCTGGAGCAACTGACTGGGTATGGACTCAACATACATTATTTCAGATCATGGAGTAAATAAGGTTTTACGAAATGTGATTTTGATTCTCTATGTGAGTTTCTTTTGTAGTTAGATGGCTACATGGCTCGGAAGATGGGTATTAACTCGGTAATTGGGTCTTACCTCGATCCTCTTGCTGACAAGGTCAATATTAAAAACTTTCACGTTCTACCTAGTGGTTTTGACCAATTAATCTGAAATTTAGTTGGTACATTTCTCGAGTCACATGATTGATAGCATTTTGTTAATTGTTCTGTATTCTGATGGTACAGGTGCTGATTGGATGTGTTGCGTTAGCAATGGTGCAAAAGGACCTCCTCCACCGTGAGTAGTCTAAATATTTGTTTTTTATTTGGTGATAATTAAGTTTTTGAAAGTACATTTATAGGGGCCGATAAGTAGCTTGATGGCTCTGTTTATGATATGCCAATGATATTGGGCAAGGTTGTTTGCTTTACTGTTCTGATCCATTAATGTAATTCAGGGAGTCTGAAAATCTGTTCTAACTTTTCACTTTATTTGACTGTTAGATCTAGTCCAGTAGGTGGTATACCTCACCTCCTAAACCATGTTCTAGTAGAGCTATTTCTGGTGGTGGTTTTCCAGTGTTTTCTCTCCTTAACAAATGAGAAACATAAATGCCCTTAGCGTGTGATTTCCCACGTTGATTGCTCCTTTGGAGGCTTATAGAGGGTGCTTCCAGTATCTGGTCAGTATTTCATGGTCACCATATCCTCGCCTCTCAGTGGGTGGTATATATCCCAAAGTAAGCTGCCTAACTGGTATATGGATTAGTATGGACTTTATTCAACCTCTAGTCCTCTGTTTTCCTGGGAAAACAATGCATGTCTTCCTGACCAATTGATATTATTTTTGTGGTATTTTGCATATTTGTGTTTTTTATAAGGATTGATCTGATTATGATTTTTGTTGTGAAGCTGGTCTTGTTGTACTTGTTCTGTTCCGTGATGTTGGTCTTATCAGTGGTGCAGTCTATAAAAGAGCTAGTACACTGGGTTGGAAGGTGAGATTACTAAATAAAAACATGAAATCTGGTCTGCTCAAATTTTGATATTGCTGCCCTTGCACTTCTAATCTTTTTCCTTGTGTTAGTGGGAAAGTTGGTCTGATTTCATCAACCTCGATGGCATGCGTCCACAGAAGGTAGAACCCCTATTCCTGAGCAAGGTAAACCTCAATCCCAACTCCCTTTCTCTTTCTCAAGCAGATCATTTAGCATACAATATTGATCATGAATCACATTTTTAGTTGCTTTTATAGCTTGCATAGTATTTCATCACAAATAATGATTTGGATAATTGTATGCTTCACAGAATTTAAGTTTTAGCATCGCGGCTGTCTGTTACCCGTGTTTTGTAATCAAAACATGTTTATGATGCTTAATTCTGCCAATGTATGGGAGCTTTGATCAGTCCCTTTGGGGCTTTTTGTATCAAGAGCTTTCCTTTTATTGTATGTTTCTTTCATCATGAATAAATTTACCATACCTTTTTTCAAAAAAAAAAAAAGATTATGGGGTGGAGGAACTTAAAGAAAATAATATTTTAATTCAGAGTACTGATGTTCTGTGACAATGCAAGATTCTCCTCGGCAAAATAGTAACATGATAAGTAATGAGTATCCAGATTGCCTTGCTATCAATTGAGCCTCAAGTTAATTTCAACTTTCACCAACCAAAATATGAAGTCGCAGACTAGAAACTAATTAACAAAATTAGGAACAAATTGATAAAAAAACCAGGAACAAATTGCTCATGCCATCAGAGCAGGGCATAGTGGTCCTATAATACACTGCTTTCAGTATTAAATGCAGCTTGAATAGAAGAAAAATAGCTTCCTCATTATTCCTTTTCTTTCCAGAGCAATGGGCATCAACATCATACATTTCCATCCATGTGCTTGCATGTTCAATCCTGCATATTCATCCAGAAAGAAAAAAGAAAGTAAATATAAATAAAGTGATTTTTTACATCTTTCGACATTTTACAGATGAAGAAAAGCACAAAATAGGAAAAACAACTTTTGGGTAAAAATGATAGGTTTGCCAGGAAAAAAAAGCTTATAGATGTATGGCAAGAAAATGCTATGGTCTCTAATTCCCCTTTCCAACCCTTTCCGGTCTTTGATGTGTTTTAAACCTTGCCAGTTATGCCAAGTGATGGGGAGAAATTCTAGTTAAGAAGTAATTAGGTGATTACTTTACATGTGAGAGTTCTCATTAACTTGACAACGAAAACCTGATGATTGAGTTGATTTGGTGAAGTCATGAGCCATCCATGAGAGCCAGTAGGCTATAGCTTATCAGCTGAATTGGTAAATTTGCTTGGTTCCTTATTCAGGCATGCATTTTGTGGCAGGTCAACACAGTCTTCCAGTTGGTCTTGGTGTCTGCTGCTCTTCTTCAACCAGAATTTGGCACCCCAGCAACCCAATCATGTATAACATACTTGAGGTAATATAATTGATGCATTTGTTCTATCTAGACTCTTATTCCATTTAAGGTATCAGAGATGAATAATCTCATCCCTCAAATTTGACAGTTGGTTGGTTGCTTCAACTACGGTAGCATCTACAGTAGCCTATGGAGCACAACACATGCGGAACAATTCAGCATCAGTTGCGAGGGGGTCATTTTCAAGAAGCAAGTTCCATTGACCTGAAACCTATTCTGTGCATTGGAAGAGACTTAGCTACAGCCAAAAACAGATTTTGAGTTTGACGCCAAGAGAAGAGGTGTGGTGGTGCTGGGATTTTAGACATTGGATCATATGATCCACAGCTAAGCAGAAAAAAGCAGAAAATGCAATATCCTTGAATAATAAGTCCCATGAATTATTTTTGGTTTGAATCCCAGCATTTCTTGCAATCTGGAATCATTAATGAAAGGCTTATGTTAAAGCATTCTTGAAAGCAGCATTCAACAGCGGAAACCGGACAGAGAGCCCGGTCGTTATCGTAGAAGAAATAAATACTTCTGGAGCAGAAACCGGGGCGCAGAGGTTGAAGATACAACATCTTGTTGAAGTCATATGAGAAATTGAACTTTGGTTATAACTTATAATGTATGGGACCTCTCTCTCTCTCTCTCTGTGACAAGGTTCATTAGTCTCGTTTTGACGCTATTCTGTTTGTTAATTGTCTTGGAGGTCCGCTTGCTGTAACTCTGTATCGTATATGTGAACACATCTGCCGTTCTTTTGCTTGGCATCCATGTGGGCAGCGTGGCTATTCGTTGGCGATCTGAAGTGTATGAAGGAGTCAAGCATGCTGAAATTTGACATAGATTGTAGGACTACTGGGTTTAATCAAAAGAGGTGAGATTAAAAAAAATCCGAACGGTTTTGTGTTCGTCTCTGTCCAATCCAACGACGCCTACGGAATAATTGAAAGTTTCTGGATGGGAAAATTTGTTTTTGTGATTTTGGTGTACTTTGGCGAGGTCTACGGTGGCTGTATGATAGAATTTGAGGAAATCCTATCGAAATGATAAAGATTCAACTTCGATCGCCAATGGCAAGTTGTGAGAAGTTTCCCTGTCTGCTCGCAATGTGGTTTCCCGAATGATCCCCCAATAAATGGAGTTACAGGTTGCGCCATAAATGGTTATGCTTACTATTCCAATCAATTAGCTGAACGCTTAATCTGTTCAGTGGGCTGTGGAATTGAGGTTTCACGTTAATAATAAATTTATGGGCCCCATGGTAAAAGATGTGGGTCCCATATATTTAAATATTGGCATGAAACCTTATCATTGGTTCCACAGCCCGCTGATGAACGGTTATAGCGTTCAGCTAAACCTTGCTCGGCCCATTGTGTCCATATTAGCACGTTGTCCATGTTCCATACCATAAAGAAAAATTACAAAAAGGGAAATTGTTTAAAATTCACCATTCATTGGAATACCAATAGTGTTCATTGATAGAAATTGTCCACGTCAACATAAATACAGTTTTCATGATCAAACTGCCCTTAAATGACAGTACAATAGTGGGTCACCATGACTTTCAGCATTTCTCTTAAAACTCATCGTAACTTTTCAAATGTCCAAAGAATCCCATGTCAGTGACTTTGTTTTCTAAAACTCACCATTCATTGGAGTACCATTAGTGTTCATTGATAGAAATTGTCCACGTCAACATAAATACAGTTTTCATGATCAAACTTCCCTTAAATGACAGTACAATAGTGGGTGCGGATATAGCTATGAATTCTTACACTAGGACATGGAAATTGGATGTATCATCGGTCAATACAATAGTGGGTGCTCTTCTAGAAGCTATGAACCTCTTCTTTGAGCTTTGAACTGCACTGCATGATCCAATGATGGTGGATCTGAAGGCCATTTACCATTCTTTGGGCTGCTGGAAATTGCATCAACGATGAACTTGGCAAAGAGCCCTGACTACGCCTTTGAGCGCCGAAGATGGGTTGGCTCAAGGATGATGAACTCCATTATGTTGCTAATCTTGATACAATTGGCTTTAGATCTTACATTTCTAGGTCACATCATATCAAGATGTGTAAGGGAATTTGCATTTGAAGTCATCGGTGGTCGAGAAAAGGCATCCAAATAATTCGATACAGAATCTAACAAAGACAAGGATGACAAGGGAAGATTGAGATGGTGAGTAGTAGTGAGATGTGGATTAGATATACATGATGACCAACATGGTTGGAAGAGTTCAAGATAGCGGAGATTGACTCAGACTGAATCATACTCTCATCACCACCTCTTGATGATTGAATACTTCTAATGTTACCAGAATCCATGGCTCTGGAGAGTTTTAAGAGAGCAATAAAGAGAAGAGAAGAAAATGGTAGGAAGAAGAAGGGTTGAATGTGTAAATGAGAAAATGTGTTGCAAAGGTTGTAGGGGTTTTTATCGATTACAATCCCAATTAAGCAAAACCTGCAAAAGAACCCATGAAGTAAATCAAGAGAGATCTTCTAGAAAAGGTCAATAGTGAGGAAAATTGATCGGCGGTGACTCTGTTTTAGAAAGTACCATGTCTTTAAAGCTCTGACTGACAATGGAGATAGACCTTTCCCTTTTTTTTTCCTCCTATTCTCTTTAAAATAAAACAGGTGTATGAAAAAGAAACAAAAGCAAACAACCCAGTCAATCTTAAATTAGAGAAGAGGAGAAATAATGAGGAAGAGAAGGGTTTTAAGATGAGAGAATCTAGCTTGTCGGGTCCTCTGTTTTACTTACATGGATTTAGTTCAATTTTGGGGTTTTTTGAGAAAGGAAAAGAAGTGAGAGAAGCGACTTCAACTCACGGTTCCTCTTGCTGGCTCCTCTGTTGGGTGGGGTTCCACTCTGAGTTTGAGGGCGCTTAAGCACCCATCTTACAATATTCCACCGTCACAACCACCAAATCAACAATCTGCTTTTGTCTCACTGGCAATACGAAAACAGTCACCACCATCAGATACTGGCATTCATTTCTTCTCTGGAAGTGATTATCTTCTTTGTCTTGGGCAATGTTAGAAGATGCAGCGGCGGTGAATATAAAATAAAGGGTAAAATAGTAATCTCCCAACATCCATTGGTCTATTTAACGTCAAAATACTGACACGGGGTTCTTTGGACGTTTTGAAAAGTTGTGAGTTTAAGAGGAATGTTGAAAAGTCATGGTGAGTTTTAGACAATTTCCCTTAAAGAAAATTAAAGATAGCAGAAACCCCATTAATTTTGCATGAGAAAATCATACATTCATCATCCAGAGTCAACATCTCAAACTGTTGGCGTTGCATTTCAAGGCATCTCGTAGTCTTGATTGGTAATGGAAACTCCGGTCTTGAATTGAAATGCAATCAGCAATGCCTCGAGAAGATGTTCAGGGTTCAGGCTAGCAGAGGATTGTCATCAAACCAAAATGAACTATTCTAAGGCTCCAAATCTTCAAACTACGTTATTCTGGACTAGAAAAAAGTTCTCGTAAATATTTGACAATCTGCAAAGGTGAACTCCTTCCTGTTTGACATTTAAGCAGATCCCATCAATACTTGTTTCTCTCTACCAGTGGATTATCTCCGTAAGATCTGCTGCAATTCTATCCACATATCAATATAACTGTATTTTTAAGTTCTATGTGAAATATAAAAAAAATGTAAAAACCAAGCTACAGAAAGCAATATAAACAAATATCGCAGTGGTCAACTCCAAAATTCATTGCAAATGCCCAGTTCCAGTACTGTAAACCATGACGCAAACAATAATCTGGAGGAAATATCGATGACGAAATTTGCTACAATAGTTCTTTTTCATGTTTTATTTTGACCTTCATCTCCTTATAGATCATTGATCATTCATGGAACCAGTGCATACTAAATCATCCAAAACAGCCATATGCATATATACACATAAACTCCTAATAAAATGGACCTGAATTCATGCCTGTCCAAAGCAGCACCAAGGAAAGCTCTTCATAATTGGATAAACACAAGACCAAAATTCTCAGTCTTTAACTAATTAACTTTTATTCATTAGAACTATTAGTTCTCCTTCAAATCAAACAGTATAGACAAGGAACAATAAAACTCTTAACAGTGTTTTTTTTTTATAGGTAACTCTAACAGTAGTTCAAATCAAATCAACCTAGACATGACTTGCATCAGATAAGTTGCAAAATAAATAAATCATGTGAGAAACATTTGATTGAAGTTTTTCAAGCGGAAGATTCTTGAGGAAGACAATGCAGGTGAAATGGCTCCAATGACAATCCAGAGACCCAGTCACCTAACCTCTCACCATCCACTGCAAGTGCCCACAAATGCTCATAAAATCCAGTTTAGTGCCATAGCACTTCCAGTCACAGCACATCATTGAGTTGCCTCTCATGTACAGGAATAAATAGTTTAGCTTCATAAGTTCAAATGGAAGTTCTACAAGAAAATGGACAGAAGTGATGCCACAATGGTACCACAAACATGAAGATCTCTCCATTGACTTGGACAACATGGCGTGAAAAGGCCATATCATCCAAATCAACAATAAAGCTATTGTTTCATTTTCAGCTTTTTAACTCTCAACTCTCAAGTCATGGTTATAATGGCCTTCATAGACTTAAAAAGAAATAAATGATACAGCTGGGCTCGGGTAATGAATGATTAATCAGGAATTTTCTATAAATGTACTGAATTGATAAATAACAAGCATCGGGCCGTCCAACCAGAACCTAGTAGATTTTCCTGAATTTTCATCCAGCTTTAGTGACCAAAAGGTTTTTCACCAACGCATCTGGGTCATTGGTGTAATTTTTCTTTACAAAGAATACAATTCAGAGAAATCATATTTGTGTGTGTGTGCGAGTGAAAGAAAATTGAGCCACATTCGTAATTGTGTATTTTTATCCCAGTTCTTTACAAGTTACAATCTTATCCTTTTTTAGTAAGTAATTACAAGTCACAACCCTATATTTATCTAATTTTTAATAAAAGATTGTTGAAAGACACAAGCAATTTCTTTTTATCTTATGTGCCTGTGGCCGCAATTGGAGGTGGTTACTCGTCTCATTGGCTCAAGGATTGCAAAGAGAAATTAGTTCATTAGTTGTCCTCCTTTGGATATCAAAGGAGAATTAAATGGGGCAAAAGGATTGGATTTTCACCAATGCAAAGTAGCACCGTTGCACATTCTCTCATAAATATTACGTGAATCTTGTCCCTTTTGGTAGTTCAAATAAGATGAATCTCCAGATACCTTTCAAAAGAAAAGAGAAAGAAATAAGGATGCAACTTAGGCAGGCTTGGGTTCAGCGTTTGTTAAAATTTGAAGGGTCCTGTCTCCAAGGGCTTGCACCAGATGCAGTGTACAATTTTTCAAATCAGGTACCTGCCTTGCACCCCTAGAAAGAAAAAGAAAAGAAAAGAAAAGAAAAGAAAAACATGTAAAAGAAGAAATCTCTCCTTCCCTTTTCTTCTTCTCCAACTACTCTTGCCAGAGGTGAAAAGAAGCAATAGCGTTTAATGTTTGTTGCAAGTCTTTCTTTTGGCCCCTTTTTAGGCTGGTATATAAAACACCATAAATGGTGGATTAAAATACAAGATAGGACTGTGGTGCAGTATTCAAAGATTCTAAGTTCTCATCACTTTCTTTTCTTGGCTGCCAAAGTGAAGAAAAAACAGTCCAGATAACCCTGTTTGCAGAAGATGCATCTACTCTAGCCCAGCCCAATATGTATGTATCTATGCATGTATGTGTGTGTGATAGTTTGTACATATCATGTTTTATTTTATATTATATAAATTGTAACATATATTTTATACATATGTAATATGTCATTTGGTATAAAATATTATAATATTAAATATAATGTATATAAAGTCATAGGACCAAAGCTCAGCCAAGGCCATTATCACCCCTTTTCCTGTGCATTGAATACACACATAGAAATGCATAAATAATAGATAGGCAAAGGCCACTCAGAAGAAGGACTCCAAGGAGTTAACCTAGTGCCTCCTCTACCATAGGGTGTTGTTCCTAGGGAAGTTTCTTTGATCATAATATATAATCAATTTTTTTTTTCCAATACTTCCTATTGCAAGGTGATCAACTTTATGGATGATCAGATTTAAAAATTCATGGAGTTTGATGTGACATTCACCCTCTTTTTCCTTTTTATTTTTTACTAGCCTTGAGGTATGTAAGCTAAATAACCAATAGGGATCAAAAAGAACATAGGAGGGTTTTTTAAAAATTAATAAACAAAAGGGACTGGGTCTGGTATGGATTTAAGAGAATGAGAAAAACAGCCTACACATTTGGTGAGCAATTTACAAGGGCAGATTAGAGGTGTAAGAAGGTCATAGCAATTGAAACAAGGAAAAAATCCCTAACATTTCAAGATAACTGCATAGGCTTAGAACAGAAGCAATAAAAAATGAGGAACATCGTAGAGGATAAAAGGGGAACTAAAGAGAACTAGGGGAATCAGTGTGTAATGGATAGAGGGTAAGAGTAAGAGATAAGAAGGTCAAATTGGAATCAGTAACAAAGATACACAAGGTGCAATAAATAAATATCTAACTGGAAAACCTAATACAATCAGCACCATTAAGTTCCTCAAGGAGGCAGCACCTTCAAGCTTAGTGTTGACATCAAACCATAAAAATTGTAAGAAGAAATCAACTCATTAATTCTCTAGTGTTTTCACCATCAGAAACTGGTCATTACAACATTGACAAGACTTTTCAATTAGACGTCAGAAGCAATGGGAGATTCACGCGCAAATCCTACTAAGAAGAGGGAATTGAAGGCAACTCCAAAAAAAAAGGAACACTGTTTGCAAAACTGAACAGTGGAGTGGAGATATTAATCTTCTTAATAAGTGCAATGAAATGGAAGAACACTTTCTAACAAAGAAAAGAAATTCAAATCTACCAAAATCTAAATGATTTTCTCAATCACTATCAAATCTTTAATTTTTTTTTTATCAGTACAAATCTTCAATTAATTTGATTGAGAGAATCTTCCAATCAGCCTATTGGCTCCACTTGAGGGACAAAGTAAAAATATTGGGCTTGTATGAATAGGCCTAAGTTCATTGGTCATAGGCCCAACTTAACAAAACTTAGCTTACAAGTGCAACTTTATAGGCTCATCATATTGGGCTGGGTTCGTGTGCATCTGTGAAAACCTGATTGGTACTCCATAGTGACAGTCACATGAACCAAGGAAAAAAAAGCATGGATTTGACTTTCCTATTCTAAGACTAGCTCCACATCGCCCTATTACTCCAAGGAACATCCCATACACGACCACAAAATCTAGCTGTTTTCTTTTTCTTTCTTTCTTTTTTTTTGCAGGGGGGGGGGGAGATTTACTACTATCATGCATGATTTCATGTTATTGTAACTTCTAACATTCAATGAATGTAATACTGCTGCATGTAAAACCATAAAAGTGCTAGTTTCAAATTTAATATATTTAACCTGTCCTTGCGAAGAGTTAAAAACTAAAAACCTTGAAAAATTCAAAAGTATAACTTTTTGAATTACACTAAAGAGGAAAATCAGAAAAAGATTATGATCTTAAGATGAACTGTTACTAACATAAATCCTAATTACATTAAAAGGAGGAATAGAGAAAGTGACGAGTCATGAACACAAAAAACAACATGGTCCATTTAAAATATCATCCTTATCTCTTGACAGTTTCAAAGAACGAAGATAAGAGAACTAAAAGAGAATCTTCTCAAAGGCTACAGTTTCCAGACAAAATCTGTTAAGACATTCACCTCTTATTTCACGGCATTACTTTTACTGTGGTAACCCTTCTTCAATTTCCTCCCACATATTAGCATTTTTGCCGAACCTCTCTTTCATCTGTCCAACAAGCTCCCGTGCCTCTTCAACTTTGGAACTGCTTGCAAGCCCATTCACAAGTGTTTTCATGGTCGTGAAGTTAGGAACCCAATTCTTGGCCAAACTATCCTTGCAGAGCTGGAGTGCAGTGTCAAAATCCCCTCCTTGGCAAAGGTAATAAATCAGAGTAAAGTAGCAATCACTCTGTGGGACACACCCCTTCCTACTCATATCCTTAAAAAGTCTCTTGGCTTCCTCCAAGTCCCCTTCATTACAGAATCCATAAATTAGATGGAAATAAGTATTCGTATTTGGCTTCATACCCCTTGCTAACATTCCATCAAATAATGCCTTAGCCTCGGGTGATTTCTTCATTTTACACAGACTTTGGATTCTAATGTTATAAGTACTGACACCCTGATGAACATCGTGCTTTTTCATCAATTCTAACACCTCGGCAACATCTTCGTACTTCTCTTCTTTATAAAATCCCGCAAGCAACGTCCCAAAAGAAGTTGCATTGGGTTTACAACCCTTCCGACTCATCTCAGCTAAAATAGAATAAACTGAACTAGATGAACCCGACTCACAAAATGATTTAATAACAGTATTGTAAGTATCAATGTCAGGAGTAATTCCATAGGCTCTGGGGAATTCAAGGAAAATTCGACTTACTTCATCGTGCTTTTTAGCGACAATGCAAGCAAAGAGGAGGGCGTTGAGAGATTTGGTTGATCGAGGAATACCCATTTCGTCCATTTGCTTGAAGGTGCGGATGGCGTGATCGAGCATTCCAGCTTGACCATAAAGAACAATGGCATGGGATAGAAAGCGCTCATTTTTTAGGTCCGAGCGGGTCTTTAGCTCCTCAAGGAATGACCGGATGCCCTCGAAGGAGTTCGACTCGGTGAGTTTGGAGATCGCAATAGAGAATGCGATGCGGTCGAGATGGAGTTCGGGGGTGAGTGAAGCAGCGCGGCATATGTCGATGATGCGTTCTGGGTTTTTCTCAGACTTGAGAAGGGCGATAGCGGCTCGAGATTTTTGCTTGCTAGTAAGGGGAGTTGTGGAGTCTGGACTTAGGATCGATGAGAAATGACGCCGATGGAGAAGAGAATTGATTCGCAGGCGAGAAAAGGAAGCCATGGGCTTTATAGTCGGCTTTCTGAGACGTTGATGGTATACACAAGTGAGATTGTCGGTATACACAACACTTCACAGTTCGACCATGGAAGTAGCAGAGAGGGTAATGGTTAGGGTTTTGCACCGGGTTTTACTGAATTAATCGGGACTCAAGTGAGATTGTCGACAGCGAAAACTTTCTCGGAATAGAACGCCTAAAAATCGTAAGCGTAAAAGATATATATCCGTTGTTGGGATTGAACCCGACGTGAATCGAACACGCAACCTTCTGATCTGGAGTCAGACGCGCTACCATTGCGCCACGGATCCGTTGGGTTCTACGGTGCTGGATATGATATAAAACATTATAAAAACCTAGCCAATTGGTTACCACCTTTATGATGCCGATTTATTTGCTATAAGTTTTTTCCGGCATGATATAGTACCTATAACAATTAACAATTATTTACTCCTAATTTATTGAATCTAATTGTTCATTATAGTAAATTAAATTAATTTACTTTTAATTTAGTTAACAACAACTCTGGTGGGGGTGGGATTTGATCAAGGTCTCCGCTAGAAACCTCGTGAGAATGTATCATTAACTGGTGTTGTTAATTTAATTTAGTGTTTATGTCATTAGGTTAGTGTTTCACTAAACTATTGATATAATTACTAGCATTGCTGATAAAAAAATCAATTTACTCATTAATGAGTAATTATTTAATACCCAAGCCATAATTCATATTGGCAAACCAATTTAGACATGGCTGCTCTGCCCATTATCCCCTTATTTGTTCATTTTAATGTCTGAAGTGTTTTCCAAGGTTGAGTAATAGTCTTAGCTCATATAAAAAACCTCAGGGTACTTTTAAGATATTATATTACTCTTTAGCATGGTTTTGAATGGTTGTTGATTCAGACAGTCATATCGTTTTGGTTTGGGAACTGTTCAGGCAATCGGTTCTATTTTACCTCAAACCTGGTTTCTTGTCAAAAATTGTTGAATTGGTCAACGATCTGTTGACTTGGGCAGTTGAACTGTCGACCCATCAACCCGTTCAATAGTTTTTGTTTTTTATTTATTTTTTATTTTAAAATTTTTATTATTGGAACAAGCATTTGTTTGAAATGAATGGTCAACCGTCGACCTAAAAACCGGTGGCCAGAACAGTTCTATTTCTAGGTCATTTTTTAAAACCATACTCTGTAGTGATGTTTACAATCTAGTTTAGTTTGGTTTGGTTTGGTTTGATTTGATTTGGAGAAGATCTCAGACCAAACTAGTAGTATAACCCCCGAGATGGAAGACTATGCGTTTGTGAAGATATCATGGAAATTTGGGACTTCAAACCATATTGCTTCAATTCAAAACATTTTTTAGCTAAATTGTGAACCTACTTAAAATAACCGAAGTAATATGGTGGGAGAATGATGACTGACTACCCGAACAAGAGGATGGACAATAGCCACAGGAAATAAAGCAATCTAGTGGCCATTAGCTAAAACATGATCTAGTTGATGTGGATAAGATCTCCATTGTGGACCCTAATAACTTAAATCCAATAGTTGACAGTTAGACCCCATTCGCTTTTTGGTAAGTTACTTACCCAGGTAAATACAGTTACCTAGATAAGTTTTTCCTGAGAAACACTTACTTGGATAAGTGCATTTACCCATGTTCTTTTATTTCTCATGTAAATAAGACAATGACCATTTTAGCCATAAAAATCCATTATTAAAAGGGGCATTTTTATCCCATTCAAGTGTTGGCAACTTTCTTTTTCCACCTAGGAGGTGGGTAAGTGATGCTCAAAAAAATAAACTTTTCTTAATTCCCACATAAATCTCAAAAAAGAACATAGATTTTTAGTCAATGGGAACCAAAATCCCATTGACCAACTTCCCCCTCTCAAAATCCGAAAAAAGAACGCCCCCTTAATCATAATGCCTTTAGTGAAGGACCACCCTACTTTTCACTAGCATCAACAATACAGTTGAAATTGCCTAAAGCACAAATGGGCCCATTCTAGTAGCCAACAGTGGTGGATAAATGATAAAAAAAAAATTCTCAACGATGGATCCTCCTAAGTTGGGATGTACATAACAACAACACAAATACCATTCAGCAAAGCATGGGCAATTAAGAACTTCTGCACAAATATAGTTTGGAGAAGAATCAATAATATGCAGCTGAATGGATTTGTCCCAACAGAGCACCAAACTTCTTGATCTACCAAGACAGGATACGCTATATTTATCAAATCGTAGGAGTTTCTGACCCTTAGATACAACACAAATACCATCAGAAAAGTCTTGTCCCTCCCAATGAGTTTCATCCACCACTATACAAAATACTTTGTAGCAAGTTGCCTTCTTGACTATTAACGAGAGGCCCCTTTGTAACACACCTACAGGTGTTAGTTGCTTTCCATGAAAAAGTCTTCTTTCGTGCTTCCCATGCTTTCCATAAGATGGTGGACTTCAATACAAAATTCTGCATACTATCATCACCTTTCACCTAAACATATGCCACCCATGAACGAATCCAAGCAACCACAGAAGAGTTCACCAATCAAATTAATTTGGTCGCCAACCTGAAGTAGAACCCAACCACACAATTCTACTGAATGATCAATACAAAAACAGATGCTCTGGGGTTTCAGTGACAGACAATACAACCAAACGGGCATAGAGCAGAGAAGAGTTCCTTTTTATTTTTACCTATGAAGAGAGGGCCACCAAATAGGGGTGTAAACGGATTGAATTTGAATCAGATCAGATAATATCCGAATTCGAATCCGATATCTGATGGATATTAAAAATTAATATCTGAATTCGAATTCGATTAAGTATTCGACTATTCGATTCAGTTCGAGTTTGATTAATTAATTATTTTAGATAATTAATAAATATATAAAGTAAATATTTTATTGATATAAAGTATATAAAGTATATAAATTATTTATTAACTTAATTATTATATATAAATTATATAAAATATTTTATATTATATATAAAAATTAATAATCGATCGAATTCGGATATTTATCTAATCAAATCAGGTTATATCCAAATTCGAATCGGATTAACTATTTAGTATGAATAGGATATTTGAATTCAATCGATTAGATATTCGAATTATCCGAATTCAATTCGATTATGTCGAATATCAAATTTAAAATCAGATTTTCGAATACCATTGACACCCTACCCCAACATGTTGGGATAAGCACTTAACCTTTAGAAAACGAACCAACATGTTGCGAATACCACAATGCACATTTTTGCTAATATAAATACTTGACTTTGCATAATCTCCTTCCCAAAAACCATCAAGTCATTGCCAAACATCATATGAGAAATAATTTGGGGGAGAGCATCTGAAGGGTTGCTTCACCAAAGGTGATCACACACCGACCCKGGCAATCACTGGCTACAACGTAATGCTACAATCGATGGAATTTKGATTGATTCTATTCAGGCGGCCGGCCGCCTGAAGCCCCACCCGCCTTTTCTATATAGTCGCATAACCATAACAAGTTTTCCCTAATGCCATACCAAACCAAGACCTTTCCTACAAGGAAACTACAAGGAAAGATAACTTCTTTCTCTTCTACAAGTTTAGACAACAAGAGAGACAAAAGCATTCATGAACATGATAAATAAATATGATGATATGGGGTCACCTTGACGTAACCCGTGCTGCGGACGGAACGTAGTTGCTGAACTATCCCCATTAACCATAGCTGGAAAGCAAGGAGTAGAAATGCAGGGATGGATAAGCTTAATGAATTTCTCATGAAACCCAAGCTCCCTCACCAAGTCAATAAGAAATGTCCATTATACTTTATCATAAGCTTTAGACATGTCAACTTTTAAGACAAAAACATCATATTTGTCTTTCTTCTTCTTAATTAATATAGTGAATAATCTCATAAGCAACTGATACATTATCAACAATTTGCTTGCATGGAACAAATGCAATTTGCCAAGGAGAGATAGTTTTAGGCAAAGGAGGCCTTAGTTTGTTAGATAGGGTTGTTCATGGGTCGGTTTATTGGGGTTTTCCCAACCGACCCGACCTGGTCGGGTTACCTGAGGTGGAAACTGAAACCAACCCACTAATAGGCAAAACCGACCTGGTCGGTTTGAGTCGGGTTGGATCGATTTGGGTTGGTTTCGGTTTTGCTCTTGTACAAAAAGGATAGAAAAGCCTAGAACTAGAAGGAAATTTATTTGAGAAGATGGGAGAGTTGGGAGAGTCAAGTTCAAAAATCAAATGATATCTTGAGTTGAGGACTTAAGGGGGGCGGACCAAGTTAGAAAATAGAAGAGAAGACAAAAGTTATCATTAAAATAGAAAGTCAAACTGTTTTATAGAAAGAAGGCTGAAATATTTATATTTTAAGAAACTTTCTAAATTCTAATCTACGTAAAAAAGGAGAAGACAAAATTTATCAATAAAATAGAAAGTCAAACTGTTTTATAGAAAGAAGGCTGAAATATTTATATTTTAAGAAACTTTCTAAATTCTAATCTASGTAAAAAAKGASACCTAATTCTAATTGTAATTGCCTAATGGGTTGCCTATTTGGTGTAAAAGACTATAGAAATTAAGATAAATACAATTTAGGCAAAAAAGGACACCTAATTCTAATTGTAATTGCCTAATGGGTTGCCTATTTGGTGAAAGTAGGATAGATACAATTTAGTTAAATAGGAACTAGAAGACTAGTTAAGTAGGAACTACCGAACTAGAAGATTAATTGATTCGGTTCAGGTCGGGTCAGTTTATGAATTTGCCCAACCCAAAACTGACCGGTGCTGATGAAAACCTGGCCGATTCGGGATAGGTCGGTCCAGGTTGGTCGATTTGGTCGGGTTGGGCCTTCTTATGAACAACCCTACTGTTAGCCAATAATTTTAAGAAAATTTTATAAATTATATTGTAAAGGTTAATTGGTCGAAAATCTATTACAGATACCGGATGAGGCACTTTGGGTATCAAAACAATATTCGTTTCACTAATATCACGATCAAGCATGTTACCATTAAAAAAATGCATGAATCCATGAAGTGGCCACTTTGTGCTAACACTGCTGGAGGGTAGTTATTTATCCAGTCCACTCCTCCCAAGATCCCATATTGCCTGGACCAGCATTGGATAATTAATAACCTTTAGGAAAAGAAATCC